GAGGGCGTATTGTCTCGCGGCTTTTCCTGTTTCACAGGTGCTATTCCCCCCTCCCCCCCCTCCCCTTTCGCTCGACGGCTCGACCAAAATCAAAATCCCCAACCAATGAAGTGCCCTGTCGCTGACCTGAAAAAATGAAGTCAGAACATCAAAATGCCGAGCAAGTGAGCTCGATACATAAGTGGTCGCAGAAAGCCAAGCCACATGGTGGTTCTGTGATTGCGTGAGATGAAAGATTGCTCCAACTGTCTGGACCGAATAGTTCGGCGGTTTAGTGGACTCTGTGAGAGAGAAAGAGCGAGAGCAAGTTTTCGGCAAGGTGCGATAGGTACCCGCGCTAAAAATATGAGTATGTCTGTTCGAGTTACTACAAGCTCTAAGCTTTAGCCCGGTAGGTTAGGGTCGAAAGGCATCATCGGCGACAATGATAAAGAGGCATGTCTCGGAATTTTCAGTTTTTCTTCAAAAACTGCTAAACCAATGAATGTGTCGCGGAACGCGACTGTTGCCCCGGGCTCGCCGAGCGCCTGAGCTCTGTCGCGCCCTACGGCCAAACTATGCGCTGCTCCGCGTCAACCAATAGGCGCGGGCCACGTGATGTCCCGCTGCGTGCTGCTATATAAAGCGGCCGGCGAGAGACTCCGCGCAGCGTTGCTCTCTTGGCATCCCTTCCCTGCGGGAGGAAAGTACTCCTTTCCTGCCTGCAGAGAAGGTCAATGTCAGGCTCACGTGGAGTGCAGGTCCGAGTGGCACCTGTCGCCACGAGGACTATCACTCGCGCAGGCCGCAGAGTAACCTTGCCGCTTCAGGTTTCCCGCGACAATAAATGTGAGTGTTTATAGTTTGTGTTGTTTGTTTATGTATCAGGGCAAGCACAGGGGAGCGCCAGGGCTGGGGCCCGACTAAGGCGCTGTAGGTTGTTGTGTCATGTCATTGTAGGCTTGTGTGTTATGCTTTGTCCTACCGGTTGTGCGTCCAGCGGCCAGGGAATCCCTGGTCTGGTCCTTGTGGCCGGGCCAGGGGTAGACCAGCCGTGGGGACAGTGCTACCGCAAGTTCCCCCACAACCCCCTGGGATAGGAACCCTGTAGACCCTCGGGGAGCGGAGGCTGCACTGGGGAGAGACCAGTGCGGTCCCCGAGGAGGACTCCTAGGATGACGTGAGTTCCTGGATTCGGGACTCACGGGGGCTCTGAACCATCTCGATGCGTCGTGTTTTGAGGGGTTTGAAGGGCGACTGCCTCTGAACCACGACAAATGTGATGGGTTCCGAAACTCATCAGCCAATATGCTACAAGCTTCACCTTTGACAGGGATTCCTTTCTTGCTGGCAGATCGAACCTAATCCATTGAATCACAGCATCGAAAACCTGAGAAAATGTTCGTTGACAATGTATGTAAGCGAATAACTGCGAACTGGACAGGGAGGGGCAAAACACAAACATGTTCCCACTGCTAAGAACAGGTCATACCTTCTCTTCCGCACGAACGTACAGCTCATCACTCGAAATGAATTCAATCAGCTCATCAACAGAAAGCTGATAAAACTGGTCAGTGCCAACAAAGTGCTAAAAAAGCAGCACGAAAAATACTTACCTAGAAAGCAGTAGGCATGACTGCTGGAGGCGAGCAGTTGTTGTTAGCGTCATTGGTGGAAGTTCTGCTGGACACGGTTTGGCCATGCTTCCA